AGACATGCGCTATAGTGTATGAGTGTGTATGAGTGTGTATGGATGTTTTCCAGAGATGGGTTGCAGCTGGAAGGGAATCCGCTGCGTAAAACATATGCTGGATGAGTTGGCGGTTCATTCCGCAGAGGTGTCCCCGGATTAATAAAGGGACTAAGCTGAAAGCAAATGAATGAAAACTCTTTACTGTGTTTGTAATCAGCTTTGGTGAAAGAATGTGATGTAATGTTGAGTTTGCTACCTTCGAATAGTGTGTGTGAGGTCTGCTGAGTAAGTGTGTGTGTGTGTGTCTGTGTGTCTGTGTGTGTGTGTGTGTGTGTGGTCAGCAGGTGGAGGATTGAGCAATTCGGACACTTGTGAAAACAGACAGTTTTTGTGTGTGTGTGTGTGTGTGTGTGTGTGTGTGTGTGTGTGTGTGTGTGTGTGTGTGTGTGTGTGTGTGTGTGTGAGGCCCACAGTGTCTGCATTCTGTAAATGTATTTATAGCGTGAGACAGATGTGTGTTTGTGTGTGTGTGTGTGTTCTGTATGTGCTGACTCTGTGAAGTGTGTTTGTGCTCAGATGATCTCTATTCTAAGACACACAGACAGAGAGACAGAGGGAGAGACACTTCAGCTTCTACAGTGAAACTCAATCTACCCTCCATAGTGGCGTCTTCTATTTAAAACCAGCCTGTGTGTGTGTGTGTGTGTGTGTGTGTGTGTGTGTGTGTGTGTGTGTGTGTGTGTGTGTTTGTGAGTGTGTGTGAGTGTGTGTGAGTGTGTGTGTGTGTGTGTGTGTGTGAGTGTGTGTGAGTGTGTGTGTGTGTGTGTGTGTGTGTGTGTATGTGTGTGTGTGAGAGAGAGAATTTGTATGTGTGTGTGTTAGGTAAGTAGACCACTGAACCACTGACCATATGTGTTCAATATGAATGGGGTTTTCTTGTTCACTGCCTTGCGTGCGTGCGTGTGCGCGTGTTCAATGAGCAGGGATGATGAAGTTAATATGTTAACTTAAAACACTGAGTATTATGAAATTGTAAATGTTTTTTTCTTTTAAATGTCTTATAGTGAATAATTTACTGTGTAATTTTAAATTAAATTAAATTTAATTTTTCATTTAATTAAATTTTTTCATTTCGTTTTATTTTATTTTAATTTAATTTTTCATAGAATTTAATTTAATTTTAATTCATTTTAATTTATTTTATTTAAATTTTAATTTTATTTAATTTAATAAAATTTTTTCATTTTATTTTAATGTATTTTATTTTAATTTAATGTTTAATTTAATTTACAGTTTTCATTTTATTTACATTTATTTTAATTTATTTTATTAAAATTTTCTATTTAATTTAATTACATTTTTTCATTTTATATTAATTTATTTTATTTTATATCATTTAATTTCAATTTTAATTTTATTTTCTTTTATTTTTAAATTTTCTCTTTTTTTTCTTTTCTTTTAATTTACTTTAATTTAATTTATTTTAGCTAAATTTAACTTATTTATTTTTATACTTTAAATGTATATGTTCATATTTTACTCTTTTCCCCTAATTTAGAGCAATAAATCACAAAAATATAAATGATAAACTTGTATTTATGTTTATTATATAAATGTATATATCGATACAGTTGAAGTCATTTTAAAAGAATTAACATTTCACAAGAGGGCATATAATTTTGACTTAAACTCTGCTTACCTCTTAAATATAAATGTATCTCTCTAAATATTATATTTACAATCTAATTTATATTTACATACTGATAAAAGATGCTCAATCTTTATGGTGCTGATGTAGGTTTTTGACACTTCTAAAGCATAAAAATACCATCATATGTTTGCAGATATTTCAGAGACATGCTCAGTGAACATTCTTGTTAATCTGGAAAACAATGCATATTCTATGCAAATATGCTAATATGCAAATATGCTAATATGCAAAGTCATATTCTGCTTTGAACATGTGAGTTACGTGCCGGAATGGCTGTCTTTGTTTTGGTCATTTAACCCGCCCACTGCCAGTTTAGCCAATTATATTTCAGCACCCGAGTTGCCTTGTTGGAAAACAGCAAATTTAATTCATTTAGTCAGAAAGGTTCTCAAAGCATGAGACAGTGACTGAAATGCAACCTCCGGTGGACAGTAGTAGACTCCGATATGAGACGCAGATTCAGAGTTCCACATGAGGAGGTTATAAATTAGAAGATAATATAAATATTAGGAGTATAAACATTAGGTGAGCAGGTTATATTCTACCGCGTGTCATTACTTTTAGTTTGAAAACGGTTCAAATAAGCCTTAAATCAGCCTTTAGGCTTGATAGTCAGGCACACTCAAGTCAATCTGGCAACCTGCATGCACTCGTCAGAGGAGCCGAGTAAAAATGTGCAATGCAATTCCTAGTACAACCACTGGGTGTCAAACTTACATACTGCACCTTTAAATCAGTGTAGTGAAGTAGATCAGGACACTTTATTCACCCGCTGTCATTTTGACCTCTACATTTTACTCCACAATTACAGTGCTCTGACCTTTTAAATTGAATTGAACCGCTGTGACATTTCAGTTTTATTAAAATACCCTCAGCCTCTGAATGTCAAACTCTGAAGGTCAAATGTTGAGTAAATAACAGTATTTAGAATTGTACTTATATTTCTCTGTGCATGTTAGTTACAGTTTGGGCCTGATAACTCTATAGATCATTTTAAAGGGGACCTATCAATGCAAAGGAGCCCTTTTTACAAGTTGTAAAGTAAGTCTCTGAGTCATTTTCATATCTATATTCAAAAAGTCGGGGAAAGAGATAAGAGGTTAATGATTGTGATAGTGTCCTCTAATCATTTCTGTCTGCATGCATTTATTTTCTTTTTCCGTGCATGTTAAATGTAGAAATAAGTGAAGAGCATCAGTGCTTGACTCTGGTCTGAATCTCCAGCATTAAACACACTGAGCAGTTCTTTCCTATTGGAAATGTTTTTATTTATAGTGCACAGAACTTCCTCTTTCATCCACAGTTTTTCAATCAGTGGGCGTGTCTCTTCTCTCCATTTATAGCCGGTCAGCTTTAATCATCAAGGTTTCAGGGTTTTGTGGTTCTGTCCTCA